GGGGGGGGGGGGGGGGGGGGGGGGCACTTCAGGGTCGAACAAAACACCGTAGGGCCTCCAAATGTACTATATGTCCATATTATGGCACGATTCAAAAGAATCCTGGTGTTTAGATACATTTTTGGGACTAATCCTAATCTCTTAACACCTTATTCGCCGTTATGCCCAAGACTTATGGGAAGTTACTGGGTTGTTGTGGTTGGTCATTGGTGCAGTTGTTTGTAGATACACAACTGTTCTCTGTCTTGTCAGATGCTCGGCTCTCGTCCTACGAGGATTGAATAGTGGAATGTTATCTACGACAGTGAACAGTAAAGCGGCCAAGCCAAGCATGTTTCGCCCCGTCACCTGGCTATCGTCTTTCATTCTAAAACACACATCTCATTGGACATCAGATCAGTGGAAGCCTTTCCCACTTTTTTTTTGAAGGCTTTGATAATTAATATGCATGTTGTCTATAGGTTATTCATTTGAAATTTTCCTTTCCGTTCTTTTTATTTGACTGAGGACTGCCAAGATAATCTGGCTTTAAAACCACAACAATTTCTTGTAACATTGTGTATATCAGCCTCATATAGGAAAAATTCTTTTATAACCTTGGGAGTACTTTATTGTCTTGTATATTTCCCCTCCTTTCTTCGAGCACAAAGACTATTCATCCTTTTTACAACTAAAAGACTACTTTACCCTCACTAGCCATCAAAACGAAAAGAGTCTTGTATCTTTTGACTTTCTCCTCCTTTCTCAAGTACAAAGACTATTCACCTTTGTTTCAACTAAAAGACTACTTTACCCTTACTAGTTTTCAAACTAAAAAAGAAAATACAGAATATCACGTATGGAGTATTCAAAGAATCTGAAAATATAACACCAAGAGTGACACTTGCCTATGAAAATGATTTGTGATGTTTAAGAACATGACAACATGAGACAAAACTTCTCTTCTTGATCCTCTATTGCATAAACATCACTCAATGATTGTGTGAAAGATGATTCAGGTCTTAGTTCATTAGCTTGGAGTCACTGGTATGTTTACATTGCTCAAGAATGCTGAATGAAGATCTCATACTCGTTTAATTCATGCCTTTGTTTTGATCACTGGTATGTTTTGACACTTGACATAGCATATACATTGTGGTTCAGCAACACAATCTTCACATTGGTGATCGGAATCTTCATAGCCAGAACTACGATGCTAGTTGTATGGCATTGGAAGAATAGTAGATCTGTAGCTCAGAAAGAATCGTTTAGGTTCTGAATTATTTATCTTCGTCTTCTTCATCATCGGAGGCATGGAAGATTGGTTGAGGCTGCGTTTGGGAGTACGCTGGAGCTATGTATTTTGGATCTTTTGCAGCTACATCAGCATACTTCAGGATAGCTTCTCTTGGATCTTCATCCATCCAAGTTTCCTTGATCAGCCCTCCTTCCTGGATCCAGAATGTAATGCCCTTGGTTACAGATGAGAACAAAGAAAAGCAAGAAAATAATCATTTTGGGTTTGAACTTTTGTGTTATGGAAGAGCATAACCATTTTATGCTTAAATATGTACAACACAAGTAGTTTTTTCCACGTCTTATAAAAAATGTCATAGAACCATTAAATTCAACCCGCTCTTTTAGTCCCTAAAAAAATTCACAACTAATAGAAAATCCAGTCTAGCCTTGTCTCGTCATTTAAAAGATGATTCAGATCTTATTTCCACATCAATGTAAAGCTTCTTTGGGTTTTCAAATATATAATACAATGAGCATTTTAAAATATGGAAAATCAGACTTGACTGTTTGGTTATCTATAGAAACATGAAAAATATAAGGGGATGCTCCCTCCATGTATTGAGTAATAAATGTTGACTGAGAGGGACAAATGAAAACGGATTAAGCCACAATGATAAATTATTAGGGATCTAAGTGGAAAAAACACTACATTTGCAGGTTCTAAAAAACATACTCTCTATCCCACCATTTTTGGACATGGGGGAGTGGCACGAAATTACGAAAAGTGGGTTGGATATTGATATTAAAGAGTAAGTTAAGTAAGAACGATTATGGAGCACATGAATATGACTTAATATGGATAGGGACAAAAATAGTGGGACGGACAAAAGGTAAAATCGGACAAAAACAGTGGGAAGGAGGGATATGCCTTTTTACCCCCCACAAACATTAAAAATGTTCCTTAAGAAGATAAAGATGTGGGAAACCACAGATGATATTACCCTGAGTAGATATTGTGTGAGCATGCTTCCATTTGTGGAACCCACCCGTCCACCATGACCAGGCCCGGTGATGGGCAGTTCGGGTTTATGAGACTTGAGTGGGTCTTTCAACATCTTCTCACGCTGACGTTTACGGCTAGGCTGGTCCCTAAACAAGGGCAGTGCATGTGGGTTGTGAATCACTGGTTGTGCCTGAAAATCATCAACAGACTTCTTCCTGGGTGCACGAGCAACACATACAAGAGCCCCTCTTTCACTAAGGGTTGGATCATATAGTATGTGTGTTCCTCCCTCACGCTTATCTCCCGTAGTTGCAAATACCTACAAACAATTGCTGTAAATATTAGTGAACTCTCAAGTTGCAAATATCTTTTTATTTAACTCGGTATATTGCAGTGGGATTTTTTTCGGTGGGGGCCGGGGGTCTTGTTGGATCATTTTCCTTCCTTTGAGGTATGTTGGGATCATTGGAAGGGTTAGGGAATGGGAAAATAATGCCACGAATGAAATATGAGCACCTTTCTTTCATATGTTTATATTTCAAAGCTTATAGTAATTACAAATGAATAAATGAACAATCATTACTTCCTCCGTCCCAATCTTTTTGTCCAGTATTCCTTTTTGGGATGTCCCAGTGTATTCGTAGGTCACAAGTTTAAGTCATGTCTTTTTAAATATTTTAAATTAGGCTTTCAAAATAATTGGGCTGCACTAAAAAAGTTGGGCTTTTCAAAATTTTAAAGGGGCCCAAAGCGTCAAGGCGAGAGTAAGGCAACGTAAGGCGACGCCTAGGCGCGCGCCTGAACGCCAAGGTTTTCTAGGCGAGCAAACTAGGAGTCCAAGGGACAGCGCCTTATCGCCTAGGCGACGCCTTACAAACTATGAAAAGATGTGATGTGGTGGTGGAGGGCTGGGCTGCGACCGAGAGAAAGGAACTAGTCAGGGAAAAATCAGGAGGGGTAAATGTGACATTTTACTTTTTTATTCCCTCACCTTGGTAATGGTTACAAAAAGAAAGTGGACAAAGAGAGTTGGACGGAGTTGGACGGAGGGAGTATTATTATTATTATTATTATTATTATTATTATTATTATTATTATTATTATTATTATTATTATTATTATTATTATATACACACACAGTACCTTTTAGTTTATCCCTTGTTTTCTTCCAAAACTACTTTCATATTTTCATATATACTACGTAGTGCAGTTAGTGCCCTTTATATTTCTTCTCACGTATTAACTGTGTTCCAAACAGACCCTTCAAGATCCATGAAAAGAAAAAAAAAGGTGGGGTACCTGATTTAGCCTTGGGTGCCAAGCACACTGCACAACACTGCAAGTAGGGGAGATTCCGACTCTTGACACAAGTTCCATCTTCACCCGATCATAAAAGCACAGTAAACCTCCAATGGAGCTATCTTTTTCAACAGATGTCCCAGTCAAAAAGATTTGTTCATCTGGACTAAATGCAACATTTGTTTGTGCATAATGATTTGGAAGATCATCAAAAACCTTCAGGGGTTCTTTCATCTTCCGCAAATCCCAAACCTATGAATGAGAGCACATAATAAATGAATTGACACATTTATTTACTAAGATGATTTTTTTCAAAACCACTATGGCCAAAATTCATACCTTCATTGACCCGTCAAAGCTTCTTGACAATAAAATCCTTCCATCACTTGAAAACTTGACTCCAGTAATATCATCTGTGTGTGCATTTGATACATGTAGGTCTGGTCTGCTTCCCCAACCAGGCTTGAGATTCCATATCTTTAAAAGCAAAACAAAGATGCATTAAATAATTAAGAATATAAGATACTCCATCCAAAATAATAATAATAGTAATAATAATAAGGGTGTTGATATATCCACCCCTATTATGGCTAAACCTACTCTATTTATTTCAAATGGACAAACTTTCCCTTAAAAGTTGGCTAACATAGTAACATCTAATATCTCTTTCATGTGTTTAAGGACAAAATTGTCCTTAATAATAATAATGATGATGATGATGATGATAACAATAATAATAGATCACATTTCAAACATTTTTTATCCCCAACAAAGAGTCTTCTTAAATTTAAAGAAACTAAGTTTGCTTTGTAATTTGTCAAAACTTTGTCACATGGAAGTTAGATATGATAGATTAAACAAGCCAAAATACGAAATTGAAAAGTATTTGTATGATTAATGCTTTATAGCAGCTGTACCTTTAGGTCCTTAACAAAATTAAAGTTGTGCCTTGACCTAACAAGATTCTTTGTATGTGACGGATTATGTAATATGCATGGATATTTTTCAATACAACACATGTTAAAACCACTAAGTCAATTTTTCAGGTGGAGGGAGGATACCTGTAGAGAGCCATCTCCTATACCGCCTGCAATGCTCTTTCCTTCACGATCCCAACAGCATGTGGTCACATGAACTCTCCCTGGCCTAGAGAGTTTCGGTTTAATGACCTGCTTTTGACATTTTAAGTCATTCACGTCCCACGTTCTCAGTGAACCATCTTCTGACGATGTTAAGATAGTCTCCTTTGTTTTAGGATGCCATTCCCCACAAGTCAAGCCTGAGATGTGTCCTTTGGTATTCTTAAGGTCACGTATGTACATATCTCCCCTGTCAGATTCAGCAAGAGTAAGTCCATCACGATCACATATCTGAAACACCATGTAAAGAAGCAAAATCAGTTACACCTAAAAGTTTAGCCATCCCGGGTGAGAATGTCATATCAGCAAATTTGCACCTTGAGCTGAGCTGAGCCAGTGACACATAAAAACCGATCTGCGGTGGGACTCCAACTCAAACTGCGAACTTGGTGGCCTTCAAATGGCTCCAGCTGTCGAAACGACTGTAGTCTGGCATTCATCCCTTGAAAATCATACATCCGAACACTATAGTCATAGCTACCGGAGAGAACTCTTGATCCTGTATGGTCCACTGCAAGTGCAGAAACAACCTGACCAGGAATACAGTGTAAGCATCTTAAATATTTACTGCAGCAAAGAAAATGAACATGTTCATACAAGCATACCCTTCAAAGGAAAGTGAATTGTCAACAACTAAAGGGAGCAATTAAATAAACGAACTTCTTTCATACAAAAACCCAAATTCATTGCAAAGTGAGATGGGTTGAAATATAAAAAAGGGTACCTTTGAATGCCCTTTTAACACTATTTCATTGCTCAGAGGTATCCGGTATTGGTTTTCTTCTTCATCTTCAGATGCGTCATCAGAATCCGATCCAACCGAACCGGGTGGTGGCGCAGGCGGGCCAATCAATGGCTCATCCTCGTCATCATCAACTGCTGGAGGCAGTGGAGGTCCAATCATAGCGATATCCTCTTCCTTCTCCTCCTTTTCATTCCCCGGGTCTAAGCTAGCAAGTGGTCTCAGAGGCCCAAAAGTCCCGCTCTTCTTTGGATTCCTAGGGTTTGCGTTCTTGAACGACTCTAGCCAGGATTGGGAAGACGAAGACAATGACGGTCCGTCTTTGCTCTCTGATGACGACGCATTGAGTTTGCCATCTACGGATTTCTCGTCCGGCGCCGAGGCGGCGCGGCGGGTGGCGCGGTGGACGATTTCGAGAGGGATTTGAGACTGCGCTTGCTTGCCGAAGGTCAGAGGAAATTGGGCCCGGGTTCCGTCGTATATCTCCGATTCGTCCGCCATTTCACAACCGTGTTCACGATAGCGTCCTCCGCCGCCGTCCTTAATCTCAGAGTTGACTACAGAGATGCTGCTCGCTCATGTCTCCTGCAAATTTTATCAACCGGTTTCTTTTGTGGTTCTTTTTTAGATATGGAATTGCTTTGCCGCCATGATGGCACTGGGGCTGTTTGGCAAAGTGTATTTATCAATAGGTCTACTAAGTGTTTAATCATTAATAAATAGATGAATATTCTCTTAAATGAGATAAATATTTTAATGATTTATATGCCAAAAATGATAGAGGGTGAATGAGAAATTGATTCTCATAATTGACCCGCTAAAATCGAAAAGTATGGTTGACGCATGTATATGTATATTTTTATCGAACCAATCTTCTATTACTTTTACACAATACTTAAAATTAGTTCATTTCTATGGAGTCAACTGACCATTAATGTCAAATTATTTGAGAACTTTTAAACGGAACGTAGTGTAACGGACGTGTTAATGATCTATCATTAACATGTCACTAATGCTAGAGGTACTAATGACCATCATTAGTGTGTTTTAATGCATGAAGGTTACAAAATTCATTAGCCTCTTAAGAGAGAAATAAAAATAGGCTCTTTCATGGTAATTGTTTCCATGCGTGAGAATATGAAGAGGAAGGAAGACAAAAAATTCTTCATTTTGTTTAGAGAGCTCTTGATTTTTCGGCCATATTTTCGACGATTTCCTTCAATTTTTTGGTCGTTAACATTCCTACATTGTTCTTGTTCGTTGGTGTGTAATCCGTACAATCACCACACACGATAGCGATTTTATCTTGAGAAGTACGGTAGGCAGGCACTACTATCTTAAAGACAGCTCTAGCGACTCCGTTGTCCTTCACGTTGTTTGGTTTTCAGGTACATTACATAACTACCTCGCTGCATTCTACCATAGGTCATAATGTCTTCACTGGTGTTCTGGTTCTAGCCATAATGACCTCGCCACTTCTTNGCAACCAGTCATAGGATAAATCTTTCTACATTGTGAACCCGTTGGTGCACATTTACTGGAGCAACCCCGGTAAATGTGCACCTGTATCGATACCCCACTTTCAGAAGGTAGAAATTGAGAGACAGGTACAACAAATAATTGAACAAGGTTTGATCTGATCGAGACGAAGTCCCTTTTCATTGCTAGTGTTGTTAGTGCAGAAAAAAGACAGGACCCATCGGTTTTGTGTGGATTACCGAGCATTGAACACGGTGACGGTGCTTGACCACTTCCGGATCGTTGACAAATTATTTGACGAGCTTGGAAGGGCGAGGATATTTTCGAAGCTTGACCTCTGATACAGTTACCACCAAATTCATATGTTTGACAATGATATCTACTCCCTTCGTTCTTGAAAAGAGTTCCACTTTTGACCAAGTGGTAAAATAAGAAAGTGTTAAATTAAAGTTGACTTCCAATTTTGTCCTTGATGTGATGACTAAAAGTAATATGTGATGGATAAACTATTAGAGAAAAAGTATGATGTAATATGTATGGTAAGAAAAAGCAGGGGCAAAAGATGTTTTTTAATTGAAGGTGGAAGTAATTTGTTGAAAGTTAAAAAAATAAAAGAGAAAGTGTTTTTGAGAATGGAGGGAGTACAAAACAACCTTTCGAACCCATGAATAGCATTATGAGTTTATGGTTATGCCCTTCTGGCTCACTAATGTGCCATCAACATATCAAGCATGCATGAACTAGTTGTTTGCTACTCCCTCCGTCCCAGAGTATTTGTCCACTTTCATTTTTACACGTCATCCAATGCACTTCTTTAATCCATTTTATCTTGTAATTTGTATATTAAAAAATTATAAAAATTATATATTAATAATGTATATGTTAAGACAAATCAAACAAGATGACACATGACTATATTTAGGCTTACACATTGAGAGAATTTGATGAGTCAAAGTGCTTAGATGAACAGTTCCAAAAGTCAAAAGTGGACAAAAACTGGGGGACGGAGGGAGTATATTCTTGCAGAAATTTATTATCATCGTATATTCTTTGATGATATCCTGGTCTACAATCTGTGGTGGAAGATCATTGCCTCCATCTGCAAAACGTGTTTCACCTTAGCTTCTCCGATAGAATCAATTATACGTCAAGGGATCCAAATGTGTTCTTCGCACACCACATGTGGAATACCTGGGACATGTATGTGGTGGAGACTGATGCAGGTATTAGGCCGATTCTTTTACAAGGGGAGCAACCCATACGCCATCGTGGAGTTGGTGCAGAAGTGGCGACAATACTTGTTGGACCGGGAATTCCTCATCAGGACCGATCATAAAGTCAAAAACTCACGGTCAAGGAGGGGACATACGTGCTCACATGGAAACATGCTGATATGGTGCACGCCATGGAGGACCGCGGACACGCTTCCATGAAGCATTACGGACAACCTAACGTAAGAAATAAATGATGTGTGAGAAGAATAGAGATGAACAAATAGTACAGAGTAGAGTTTCTCCCCTAACTTGAGTGGTAGAAAGTAATTATGAGAAAGTTCACCAAATTTCGAATCCCAGCAGAGGCCAATAGCATTCAAATAAATAAATAAATAAATAAATAAATAAATACCCCCTCCGGCCTATAATGTTCTTCCTGTTTGTGTTTACGAATTTGACCGACTTTATTTTTAATTCAATTTATTTGATTGTAGGTGTAAATTAAAAAAATAAAATTTATATATTTAAAAACCACATCAAAAGTTCTACAAAACAAGTAGTGACAAGACTATATTATTTTATCAAATACCTAATGAAAATAGATAAATAAAGTTATTAAGTTTGACCGTGTAAAAAATAACTGGGAAGAACATTTTAGAACGGAAAGAGTAGTACGGAGTAGATTCTAATAGATGAAAACTAGTGGGCAAGAAAATATAAAAAAAATAAAGAGGAAAATGATTTTACACCCAAAGACTAGTACTCGTACTGTAACCATGAAAAACATGTGGCTAACTAAGTCAATTTTAAGAGGAGCGGCTAATTAATGTACTTCGTCCAAGACAAATCAAAGAAGAGCAATGCTAGGGTACACCAAAAGTGTACTTGATTTATACACCACTCTCTTCTCTACCACTATTTTTAATTTTATTTATTTATTTATTTATTTTTTTGATTTTCTTGCCCAATTATGTGGACAAGGAGATGGTGGGAGACAAATGAGGTACACCTTTGGTTTACCCCTAACATTTTTCATCAAAGAAATAGGGAGAAATTTCAGCATAAGTTATGGTTTCAATTTTAAAGTTTGATTAAAATTATTTTTAATTTAATTTATTTGATTGTATATGTACAATTAAATTTTAGAAGGTAACATGACTATATCATTTTATTAAATGATTATCAAATGTATGCAAAATTAATGTTTAAAGTTTAATCACATGAATAATAATTTAAAAAGAACTTTTAAGACCGAGAGATCCAAGTCATTGACTATTCCATCGTGAGAAAATGCTTTTTTAAAACTATACTAAAATTTTTATTCTCTCCGTCTCGAAAAAAGAACTTTACGTAGTACTATTTAGGCAAAATTTATGGTAGACCTAAGGTCCACCATGGATCTACATATGAGTAAAACAAGTAATTTTACTACTTAAATAAGTATTTATTTTTCTAAATAAAAAAAATAAAAAATATTTTTTATGTGAAAAAATCACAAAATAATATGCACCTAATGTATACCAAAGAAGCACTCTACTATTTAACTTTTTTATTCAAACAGCTACATACATTGACTATTAGCTAGTAAATGAGAGAAAACTAAAGTAAAAAAAATAGGGAAAAGATTAAAATAGAACCACCGTGTTTTTTAAGGAATCGTGATTTTAATTCAAAATATCAAAAAACATACTCACACCGTCCCCAATTTGATTATAATTTTTTTCTCTCTCCTCTCGATAATTTTTGTTTATTTACACGATTTCATTAAGTATTTGATCAAATAAAATATTCTTGTCACCTCTTATTTTGTAGAACGTAACATTTGACGTAGTCTTTTAATATGTAATTTTTATTTCTTATAAATATGCCAATTTGTAAATAAAATAATTTTAAAAAGTGAGATATTTTTCCTCGTAAACACTAATTTAATTAAATTGGGGACGGAAGGAGTATTATAAAATGATAATATACAATGTTACATGGTCACAATGCAATAGTTCTAGTTTGAAGATAAAAACATATCACTTCTATTTTGAAAATAAAAGCTATATTTTGCTTCTATTTTACTCCCTCTGTTTCCTTAAAATGTTTCTATTTTGACTTTGTGGCATAATAAGGAATGTATAAATATAGTTCACTTTCCAATTTTGTTCTTGATGTGATTGATAAAAATAAGATGTGATGAGTATATTATTAGTGAAAAAGTATGATGTGATAGGTAGATTATTAGTGAAAAAATATGATGTGATAGGTAGGAAAAAATAGAGGTAAAAGTGGTTTTTTAATTGAAAGTGTAAGTGTTTTAGGGAAAATGAAAAAATAAAAGAGAAAGTATTTTAAGAAATGGATGATGTACATCATTTCTATAGGAGAGAAGTTCAAAACTTGAAGTGTACAATTTTCTTTTTTAATAGAAATATGAGATTTTTGAGAACTAAATACTCCGTAAGATAGAATGTAATCTTTTTGCGGGGGTATTGAGGATTCGATCTTCAACGAATGCGAAAATAAATTAATTAGGATCCATTTAGTACACGAAATTAACGGAATTAAAATTAAATTGAAAATTGAAATTATACGTAATTGAGTTGGATGGAATTGAATTTTCCAATTCCAATTCATTTTTTTGCACTATCAATTTTAAATCTAAATATTTTTGTGCTATCAAACAGTAGAATTGGAATTATTGTCTTAATTCCAATTTCATAGTTTGAATTTTGTGTATAAAACTGAGCCTTAATGAACATTGTTTAATCATAAATTTTAGTGAAATTTGCACTAAATAGGACTAAAATATAATGACTTTCCTAATGTAGAAATTAAACTTTTTTATTCCCTAAATAGGACTTAATAATGACCTAGTGGAATGAATAATGTCCAGTAATGATGGACATTAAGTTGAATAATGACTACTTGATAATGACCAAAGGTCCTACATTAGGAAATAAAAACATATGGTCCTATATTGGGAAAATCAT